TTGACATGTGCAGCCCAAGAGAGTTTGCAGTCAAACATCACACCTAGATGTTTGTGCTGAGTAACAACACGGATAGGCATAGTCGAGTCAGGGAAGTATAATGGTTGATCAGGAGGGAATGAAGAAATATACATGGCTTCTGTCTTGTCTAAATTGGGCTGGAGTTTCCACGTTTGCATCCACATGACAGTGCTGTTGATGCGATGCTGCATGGTAAGGAGTAATTGTGCAGGGGAGGAATCAGAACAGATAAGGCCAGTGTCATCCGCATACAAACTAACATCGGGGACAACTGAAGGTAGGTCATTAACGTAAAGCAAGAATAACAAAGGACCCAGAATGGAACCTTGGGGCACTCCAGACGTTACAGGGAGGGGATCAGACAAGAAATAAGACAAGCGAACAGCCTGAGAACGAGCAGACAGATACGAGGATATCCAACGCAAGGCAGCATCCTCCACCCGGAAGGTGACCTCCAACTTGGCAAGTAAGCCACGATGCCAAACGGTGTCGAATGCCTTAGCCAAGTCGAAAAACACCATTCCCACATGCTCCCCACAGTTCCTCTTTGTCGCTATGTCTTGGACAAGTCGAGTCACCTGGTATTGAGTTGAGTCACCACGGCAGAATCCCGACTGAGCTGGTGAGAGAGCCGGAGCGATGTGCAGGTAGAGGGAATCGAATACAATACGCTCACAAAGTTTGGAAACTGTGCGCAGCAGAGAGATGGGGCGGTAGTTTGCCGGGCAAGCACGGGAGCCTTTATTCTTGTAAAGCGGTGTCACGATGGCGGATTTCCAATCCTGTGGGAATGTACCAGTTCGAAATGACATATTAAAAATAATGGCGAGAGGATAGGCTATTGATGGTGCAAGAGACTGCAGCACTTCATTCGGGATCCCATCTGAGCCGGGAGACTTTCCACATTTCAGGCGCTTCAGATATTTCCGAACTTGAAACGTAGTGACAGTGATTGTACGGAACGGAACAGATATGAAAGGCGACTGGGACAAAGGGGGAATGCGCCACGAAGGATCATCAGGTAGCCCAAATGAGGTGAACTGAGTGTTCAGAACATCAGCTATGCTCTTGGGGGACGTGGCGACCGTACCGTCGGATGCTATCATCGTTTGGGGCATGACACGGTTTGTTGTGTATCACTGGCCGATTATCTATGTCAGTCCATGACACACAACAAGAGCTTCGGTTGTTGTAGCTTGACTCTGTTCAAGGCTACGAGTAAGATCATTTCAAGTAATGAAGTCGATGATAAGAAGAAATTCGGCAGCTCTTTCACCAACCGGAAAGAGCTCTTTGTTTCGGGGGAAAACAGCAGCAACACCATTACGAGCACACTGTAACCAAATATGAATACTACAGAAAAGGGGTGAGCACGGTGCTATAGTCCTAGGGCCCATTTGAAATTTCTCACTTTTACTTGACACATGTTTGCTAACATAGATTTTATGATCATTCTTGGATGGTTTTTGCCTCCTGAACACGATGGCATAGGTTTCGATTGCCGAATTGTGTCCGAACATGGTGAAAAACATCAAAATAGAAAAGACCGTTATTACTATAGCAACCCAACTAGAATTGCTCCTATATCCATTTTTACTGACATGTATATGGCCAAGTAGCACCTCATTTTGCTCAGAATAAGCAGTAGATACAGTACGGCAACAAGTACTGTACTTTTACAGTGTCAAAACAAAATTTCCAAAGTGCAGTGAAACTACTTGGCTTTTGGACATGTTCATGTACATTTACATGTCGCGTCGAATGTTAGCATTGAGGTACGTGTACATGTATGTGCAGCTAGCAGGTACATGAGACTATTTACAGGCATGCATTATTATAATAATCAGACTGCAAACACGAGGGAAGCGTCAGACGGTTCGGCGTTACACTTCAACTGAGAGAATAGGTATTGTCAAATACTAACAGGAGAAGGAAAAGGTGGTAGGAAACTGTCAGAGTCTAAGGAACGAAGTGCTATAGGACAGTTTCAACCTGAACTAATTTACTCGAAGTACGTGTAGATAATACGATAGATCTTGCAGCAATATAAGAAGAACAACACTACTTGTATGCGATGGCAGTGCTGTAACGAAAAATGATGAAAATGAAAATACCAAAATCCTTTGCATAAAACAGTCCAAACATTGGCTAGCTTGTCATTCAAGGCTGCAGTTGGACAACGCTCACATGTGAATAGCTGCAGTTTAAAAAGCTGATCGATCCCAACATTGTGATACGAATACTTTCACTTCCATGTGTTTTGGGAGAATCGTACGTCGCAATCGAGCTATGTCGTTGCTGTGTCATCATCTATGTGCCATGCGCTACTTGATGTACCGGCCTGCTATGCCGGATACCGCCAGCCATGCATCGACCAGGTGCCAGGCGCGAACTGATGGTGGTGGTGGTGAGAAGGAGAGCTCTGTGCCAGAACTTTGCAGCCTAGAGAGCGTGTGTGGGCAGGCGTGTGTTTACCGCCATATTGCCAGGTGTGTCTTTACCACCATATTTAGCAACCATAAGTACAGCTGCAGTGGTGTCTTCAACTTCATTCTCCCGAGTCAAGCTCCGTATGAAGACATCCAAGAAGAAGATTGCCTGATGAGTCCAGCGGGGACGAAACGTACGTCGCAATCGAGCTATGTCGTTGCTGTGTCATCATCTATGTGCCATGCGCTACTTGATGTACCAGCCTGCTATGCCGGATACCGCCAGCCATGCATCGACCAGGCGCCAGGCGCGAACTGATGATGGTGGTGGTGAGAAGGAGAGATCTGTGCCAGAACTTTGCAGCCTAGAGAGCATGTGTGGGCAGGTGTGTGTTTACCGCCATATTGCCAGGTGTGTCTTTACCACCATATTTAGCATCCATGTGTTTCACTTTAACTGAAGTTGTTCTTCCGTCTGAGCTTCGGAAACTCTACGCCGTACAGCTGAGCCCATCTCTACTCCGCCACCTACACCATCACTGTTGGCTCTGCAGTCAGGGACAATTCTTTAGCCACTAGTTCATGAGGTATTACATGAACATGTTTTCCCTCTTCACCACCGCTCTTGAATCGCATCAACTACGTGCAGTGATCAGTTCAGGAGAGACAAGCCACGACATTGGACATCGGACTCTTTCTTGCAGTTAGTGTTTTATAAGTATAACTGTAGTTTCACATTGCCTAGGCCCAGCCATCAAATTCTGCGACAAGGAAATGATTCTTCTACTGCTGGTGTTGCATATTGGGATAGGTTACCTCCAGGTACTCGGATTTCGTTTTTGTAACACTCCACACCACATAGCTACTCCCTCTCACTGCAGCATGGCACTCCTAAGGCAGTTGTCCTAGAGCTGTTGAGCTGGTAAATAGGCTTTGTGCTAATGGTAGCTGATCACCACGGTCGGTGTGTTCAAATCATGGTACTAACACTAGCCGCTCTTGTAGATTCGAATCAAATGCTTGTCCACTGTAACACCTCCTGTGCAGCAGTACTTACAAAGTAAATGCCTTCATTCCAGCCCGATGAAGTTAGCCAGGTCTGAAACTTTCCACGGTTGTAGATTAGTCCTGCGAATAGTTACAACTGGCTTGGCAAGCTATGATGACTTTCCCCTGCTTTCCACACATAATTGTTGTGCTGCTCCTTGTTGGAATCATGCCTACTTTTCCGGGGAGCCAAGATGACATTGTAATGAAGGTTCTGCTGAATTTAGCATCGATCCATTCGTGGACGTTCCCACAGCAAAAGCACCAGCGAGTCAATGCAAAACTTTGAAGAAAGTGTCCAAACGAGGTAACACATTTCTGGTATGTCACAACTACACTACGGTACTTGATGCTCAATCTTTCCAACTCTCGCACAAAATCAGTGTACGCGTCGGTTCGCATCCTGTGTATGTACGGTGTTACTATAGCTCCTGGCACATAAAAGGGTAAAAACTCCCAGGTCCAGTCAATATAGTACCGAGAAAGTCTTGAAAATGCTTGAATATAGCCGATGAGAACTTAGTTTTTTCGGCAATTTTGTATTCCTATCGAGGGTGATTTCGGGACCTTTGGACGCGATTGGACTCGCCATACTGGGCCAAGATGCTCTTGAAGACATTATCTATCAAATAACACCGAAAAATCCTTGTTAGCCAACATGTGTCAAGGCATGTATTTTAGAGGTCGATTTTTTGAATTGGCCCCTGTACTACTAGCCCAATTCGGCACTAGCACCCCGAAGAGAAAATACAGCGTACAACAATACAGTACGCATAGCAGATTTAGGCGCACGATGAGCAAATAAGGAGTTGATTAGATTATTCTCGCGATTCGCGACACTCCCGGGCGAAAGAAGCAAACAAAGAAAAGAAAGCTAGCGGAAGAGCAATTAAACGACAGACGCAGTCACAAATCTGGGAAGACCAAATAACTTGGCCAAATAATTACACGATCAAAGAAAGAAAATAAAGTACACAACTAACTCACAGTGCATCATCATCCCTCAGCCTGCGAACCATATTCTGGCATTTCTGAGCAGCAGCGCGGCGTGGCCTGTTTCTGAGATGCAAGCTGCACAGTTGCTGATCTCACCCAACCATCTTGGCTGTCATGAATATCCACCACTCTGCCCAGCCTCCATGTCCCTCTTGGCATGCTGCTCTCCTTGATCAACACAATACTGTTCACACGCGGTTCCACATTCTTGCTTCTCTTGGCTGGTGCACTATGTGGGCGTTCTCGTAGGCTGGTAAGACACTGCTGGCCTGGCTTGCAAATTATAATTAGAGCTAGATACAATACATTCTGTGTCATCATGTACATTAGTATGAAGAAAATGGGGAACATAAGATAATGGAGGGATAAGAAATGAGCCGGTGTCAGAGGATCCCCCATCCCCCAGAACTCGTCAGTATGGGCAACAGGTGGCCTGGTGTTCACAACAGCTGTGGTATCGATGCCAAAGGATGCGCATTCTGACTGAATATCTGTGATCAGAGTGTCCTATTCTGCAACACACTCTTCAAACTCATCAGGAGTGGGTGTGGTCAACCGTACAGGATCCTCCCCCAGAAAGGAAGATGGAGATCCGTGCAACTCGCTAGGTGGCTTATCCAAGAAGTCAGAACGAGTGCACTGAGGGTCAGGAACATCATGGACCATGACTGTGGACTCGTCTGGTTGGATCTCGGAGTGGGGAACCTTTCCTGTGCAGATAAAACCTAACTTGGTGTCTAGGAGAATCAGACCATCTGGGAAGTGGGTGCGATCTGTCAGCACAAAGTCATAGTAGAAATCTGTCCCAACCAGAATGTCAATCTCGACATGTTCGCGAGTGAGTGTTAAGGGCTCAGCAAGAGGTAGGCGTTCGAGCGACGGATGTGTCTGGGTATCCAGCGGAGTCTTCAGAATTGGACAACAGATCTGCGGGACAACGCTGGCTTGAACGGATTGGGCAGAGCCATCGAGAAGTTGGACATTGAATTCCACTTGTGGAAGGTTCTGCGTGGTGCGTTGGGATGCACCAAAGTTGGCCATTGCTGTGACATCAGTGCCAATTGTCGGAATGTGCAAGGCTTTTCGGGTGGATTCTTTGATGTAAGTTCGACTGGAACCAGTATCGAACAAAAGGCGAGCTTGAAGGCTTTGCCCTGACTCATCCTGGATGGTAGCAAGGGCCGTCTGCATGATAACATGTTCGCAAGTCGATGTCAAGGTTTGAGTTGCAGACAGAAATGGTGTAGCATCGACGTTCAATGTTGTAGAGTTCTCCGGCTTCTGCTCCGACTGCGCTACCGAGGCACCGCCAAACTTCTTACCGCACAAGCTTCTGTGATGCGTAGACAGTTTACAGTGGAAGCACGGTCTCGCCTGTTTGCAGTCACGTGCGATATGATCTGATCTGAAACATATGGAGCAGCGATCATTGAGTTTCGAGTGAGCTTTGCGTGCATCTAAATCTCGGTACTGCCCGCATTCATCGCTAAAGTGTGCCCCTGAACAGTAGAAACATTTCGGAGGTCTGCGTTTCTCATGATGTGGCAAGAGGGATACACCAGTTGAAATGACATGGGATGGCGCAGGATGCTGTTGATGTCCTTTGTTCGCGTCGTGACATTGGCGTTCACTAGTTTCCTTGACACGTACCAAGATGCCAAGGGCCTTGCGTAAGGATGCGACTGTCCAGCTGTCGCTGCCCCGTGCAAGCTCAAGCTGCACCATGACAGCCTGTGGGAGCTTTGCTGTGATCATAGGAATAAATAACGGGTGTTCTACGTCTTGTTTGAGTGCTTCAAGACTGCGGAGGTTCCGTTCGATTTCGTCAAGTAGTTTCCGCAACGAAGCAGGTTTGTCTGTTGCTGGAGGTAGATGCGTCATGGCTGTGTAGTGACTGTCGATATGGATTTGAACGTCACCAAATCTTTCCTCTAAAACATCCATCGCAATGCGATAGTTGGCACCCGTCAGGTCGAACCCAGCAATTGCCTCCTTTGCGACGCCTTCAACATTCTCTTGGAGATATGCAAACTTTTCCACATCAGACAATTTGCTGGCACCGACAGAGGCTTGAAATATTTCGTGAAATTCACGGAATTTCGAAAAGTTGCCATCAAATTTGGGTAAGGTAAGCTTCGGTAGCCGGATGGATGCATACGAACTACCATGTGCGCTGTCTGGTACTGCGGGATTTGAAACATTAGAACTGGAGGGAGAACGTGATGTTGCGGTGGATGATGTAGCAGTGGATTGTGAAGGTCGCTGCATGTTGTCTCGTTTGGATTCTAGGCACCTAAGTTTACCCCTACTGACGAGCCCCAGTTGCAGTCGATCTTTCAACCCCGACTCATTTAAATCAAGAAAGCCATACTTCATGCAAGCGTTATCAAAAGTAGAACAGGCAGCCAGAAAAGAATCAATAGCAACGGAAAGTTCAGAAATAAATAAACTAAGCTGTTGCAAGGATACATCGTCGTCGTCCAGCACCGCGTCGGCGGTCTTGTAGATGGAGTAGAGCTGCTCGTTGCTGATAGTAGTCACTTGCCTTGCGTGTAAGACCTGCGGGGGTGGCAAGGGCTCATCGTCATCAGATAGTAAGCACTTTGCTGCTCGAGTCTTCGCCTTCTTGCCCTTCGGTGGCATTTTGAATTTCCTTCAGTAACAAACTCTAGTTATCTAAAGGTCGGGTTTTTGGCACCAGTTTGTTGTGTATCACTGGCCGATTATCTATGTCAGTCCATAACACACAACAAGAGCTTCGGTTGTTGTAGCTTGACTCTGGTCAAGGCTACGAGTAAGATCATTTCAAGTAATGAAGTCGATGATAAGAAGAAATTCGGCAGCTCTTTCACCAACCGGAAAGAGCTCTTTGTTTCGGGGGAAAACAGCAGCAACACCATTACGAGCACACTGTAACCAAATATGAATACTACAGAAAAGGGGTGAGCACGGTGCTAGCCCAATTCGGCACTAGCACCCCGAAGAGAAAATACAGCGTACAACAATACAGTACGCATAGCAGATTTAGGCGCACGATGAGCAAATAAGGAGTTGATTAGATTATTCTCGCGATTCGCGACAGGCAACGTCCTCACACGCATGGCTTCCGTGGAGAATCTGTTCGGGATCAACCAAACCTACCTCAACATGAATGTGGGTGGTCGATGACAGCCTTTGGCGAGGTTCGTTGAGCAGGTTCTTGCTCAAAAACACCGTTGAAAAAAAGTCACGAAGTTTTTGTATACGGAGGAAGTAGGTGGGTTATAACTAGGTTTTTTTTTTATTTTTTTTTTTTATACGAAAGTCCACTATATTCCCGAATATGTGCGAGAAGTGGTGGCGGGGCCAGGCTGCTCTGCCGACCTCAAAGGTCTCGGCGTCTACGCAGACAAAGCGCGCCATAATGCAGTAAAACCATGTAGAGAGGAGGAAGAGGGGAAATGAATAATAGTGAGAAACAAGGACAATGGGTAGATGGTCGTGAGAGAAGCAGAGTGAAAGATAACGTCACACTGTGGTAAGGGGGGGGGGGGGGAGGAGGATGCTAGTGAGGCACTGGTCTAAACCGTTTCATAGGGCGTCGGTGGCTGCTTGCCAGTTCAGGTGCAGCAGATACTTGTTGCATTTTTCTTTGAATAATTGGAGCTGGCTGGGTTGCGGCCGTGCTGGTAGAATGGTCGCTGGTAGGCTGTTCCACAAGGGAATAATGCAGTCTGGGTAGGAACCCTGGAGGCTGCTACGAATGCGCACGGGCAGCGTCGACTTGAGCTGGAGCGGGTGGCAGTGGGCAGTCTCCGTGGCTAACCTAGTGGATCGACCACCCGCTGGGCGGGGATTGGCTGGAGGTGGGAGGATGGGCTTCAGGGGGCTTGTTGTTGGAAGGTAAGACAGCTTGAACGTGAACGAAAGCGCAGCAACCAGTCGGCGGTGTTTCAGGCTGGGGAGCCAGGCGCCTGGGCCAATCACCTTCAGTGCCTTGTGCTGGATTTTGTCCAGTCTGGATGTACCTGACCCCATCCACACCAGGCAGCAGTATTCCATTGTTGGCCGCACGAAGCCTTTGTAGACTGCCGTGCGGCCGCTGGAGTCCAACAGGGGCGCAACCTTTCTCAGGAAGTGTAGGCGTTGGGCAGCCTTTGAGGCCACGGCCCGGAGGTGTGCTGCGTAGGACAGTTGCGAGTCGAATGCTATGCCCAGAAGTTTAATTTCTTTCTCTTCAGGAACAGTCACTCCATTGAAGAGCACTGGTGGGAACGCTGGGGGAGGCTTGCGGTGGTCGATGATGAGGGCCTGAGATTTGGATGGCTCGAAGGTGACCTTCCACTTGGAACCCCAGTGGGAGACGGCGTCCACTGCTTCCTGGAGTTGTGCTGCAGAGTCGGATATGCTGGCGGTGGCAGAGATGCACTGATACAGTGTCGTGTCATCTGCATACGTGGCAAGCTCAGCACCAGCAGGCAAGGTGTCCTCGCAGTCATTCACGTACAGGAGGAATAACGTTGGTCCAAGGATGCTACCTTGTGGTACCCCTGCTTGGATATGGTGCAGGGAGGACTCTTGGCCGCCCACAACAGCCTGCAGGCGCCGGTTGTGCAGGTAGCTTTCCAGCCATCCGAGAAGCGGGCCGTCTATACCGTACACGGAAGCCTTATGCAGCAGGCCAGCATGGCTGACTTTATCAAAGGCGCCTGCTATGTCTATCGCCAAAACATGGGCGGCTCCTCCTAGGCCGGCTGCTCGGGACCATTCACAGTGGAGCTTGGTTAAGACGTCGGCTGTGCTCAGGCCCTTTCTGAACCCGAACTGTTTCGCAGAGATGACATTGTGGGACTCCACGAAACTGGTTATCTGACGATTGACAATTGTTTCCATCACTTTGGATATGATAGACAGCAGAGACACAGGTCTGTAGTGTTGAGGCAGGTTCTTGGATTTCTTCTTGTGAATGGGTGTGACTCTAGCTGTCTTCCAGGATGTCGGCATAACCATGCTGTAGAAGCTAAGGGAGAACAGTTTGGAGAGTGGCTTACTTAGGGGGTCGGCACACATCTTCAGAACTCGCGCGGGAATGCAATCCGGTCCAGTAGCTTTCGATGCATTTAGGCGCCGGAGTTCTCTCTTGACAGTGGCAGGGCGGAACCGAACCGTTGAGAGCTTTTCAGCCGTGCGCTTTGCAACGTGGGGGAAATCAGTCGCTGGTTGGTTGGCGGGGAAGTCGTCGGCGCCCAGGCTGCACTTTGAGGCGAAATACTGCCCAAAACACTCAGCTTTTTCGGCATTCGATACGCATTCCAAACCAGGCTGCGGCGTAAGAGTTGGGATGGACGTGTTTCTGCTGCTGCCACCTGCTTGCTTGATGGTAGACCACCACGAGCGGTCACTCAGGCTAGCTTTGGAGAGCTTAGTACGCAGGGTAGCCAGGCGGGCCACCTTGGCATGCTGGAGGATGTCATTACAACATAGAGTGGCTGCTGAGGCTGTCTGCCGCGCTGCTGTTGACTTCTGCCGTCTGGCAGTAGCCCAAGCCCTCTCTTTTGCTTTTATGGCATCCGTGCACTCAGGGGTCCACCAAGCTGGATCCGTCGGCCGGGATGTGAGTTGCCGGGATGGGATGAAACGTGACATACCCTGGAGGATAACTTCGGTGATGTTGGCGCACGACTCATCAGCGCTGGTGGTGAAGGCAGTTGACCAGTCATAGGCTAGGAAAAAGTGACAGAGGCGGTTCCAGTCTGCTTGGTTGTACCGCCAGACAGTGCGTGTGGTTTTTGGTTCACGGAACGCAGAGATAGGGAAGTCCATGGTGAGGACAGCGTGGTCAGAGGACCCCAGTGGGGCATGGCATTTCACCTGAACCGGTTCACTGAAGTCAGACATCACAAGGTCCAGGGTGTTGTCTCCACGTGTGGGGATGTTGACATGCTGCTCCAGGCCATGAACATAGCAGAGTTCCTCGGCTGCTTCTCCTGCCGAGGTAGTCTTGGTGCTCCCTAGCCATGCTGCATTGTGGACATTGAAGTCCCCTGCGAGGATAACATAGTCACCGTGGCTGCGGGCCTCGTCTAGGTGGGTATCAAGGTATTCGATCAGCTCGGTGTCTGTCCCGGCTGTGGAGCCTGATCGGTAGAGTGCACAGATAACAATCTTGGACCGGCTAGCTGTTGATACAGATATCCATATCACTTCGTGGTGTTCCGTGCTGAACCGGTCCAGGTGCTGGAAGGCCATGTTTGATTTCACCCAGATGGCAACTCCGCCTCCATGAGCGTTTCTGTCATGTCGGATTGGGGGAGCGTATCCGGACAGACAGACCTCACTGTCAGTGACCTTTGCGGTTGAGAATTTTGTCTCCGTAACAGCGATGACATCAGGTGAGGAGCACTTTGCAACATGTGCAAGTTCACCAAGCTTTGACTTTAGGCCAAAAGCATTGGTGAGTAGGAGCCTGAGGAAGCGCTTCATTGGTGACCATGTAGGTCATGTTGTGGCGCAGATCCGTTTGATCTCTTCAGGTCTCCAGCCTCTGGTGGGGAGAGGTGGGAGTTTCTCCGTTTTTGGCCACCAGGCAGTGGAGTGGAGATGATGTCTGCCGGTGGTGGTGGCGGCGGCGGCGGCGGCGGCGGGGAGGAGGTTGAGCCCTGCTGCTGTTGTTGCTGTTGCTGTTTAGTCAGAACACTGGCAGAGGTGCTGTTTCTGCTACTGTGGCAGTGACTGCTGGTGCTGCCCTCAGGGCTGGTTTCAGAGAACCTCCATGGCCTGCAGTATAGGGGTCTTGGCCAGAAGTTGGGCGCTGTAACTGTGGAGAATGAAGTGGCATCGATGGTCACTCTGGCGGAAGCACGCCCACTTTCTGACAGCCATACACTGCAGGTGTGGACAGGAATAGAGGCGCCCAGAAACTCACTCCTGGTTTTGATAAATTGCCTGAAGTGGCTCTCAGTGCTATCTGTGGCGATATTGCCCACGTACACTACGGCACGCTTGTTCTTGGGTGGTTCTGAGGAGACAAGCTTCCATGAGTCATCCTCGATAACATGGAAGATTGGCTTGCCGTTGGACTCTGTCACATCTGTCTGAGACTTAGACTCTGTCACATCTGTCTTGGGCTGTGACTCAGAACACTCTGCCTTTGCCAAGCCACCGCTTCCCTGGGCCTGGGGGCCGTGGGGCTTTCGATCCGCGCTTGTGACGCCAGTACGTGATACGGTGCTGCTGGGTTCCATGTGAGCTGCAGCTTGCTTGGCGCTGCGTTTGCTGGCACGGGTACTACCGGTACTACTTTGCGTACGATGTACGTCTGCTTGAACTGGTGAGCTGTTTCTCGTCGTCTTCGACTGCATCCAGGCAATGGCGGAGTTTTTTGAAACAACTAACTCTTCCTTCAAATCTTTTACTTCCGCTGCCAGCTCACCAATTTTGCGTTTCATCCGCGCTTCGCGATCAGCAGACTCGGTCGCGAACTTTGCCAGCGTTTGCATCACTGCAAGGAGACTCTGCTCAATCCCCGGGAGGGTGCAAAGCAGCTTCGTCATGGCCTCAGCAGAGAGCTCGCCCATGGCGAAGGGTTCCTGCCTGGCCCTACCTAACTATCTAGACTATCCTACACTATTTCCACTACTACTACTACCCACGCAGCTATCTCC